GGACCGCAGCCACTTTTGCGGGGTCAGTGGCGACACCTCGAGCGCTGATCACATGGCCCAAGAACGTGGTCTCTCTCACCAACAGCTGGCATTTCGCGGGGTTGAGCCGCAGCCCAGCTCATCGGATGGCACTCAAGACCTCGCGCAGGTGAGACAGTGCACTGTCGAAGTCACCACCGTGCACCAACAGGTCATCCAGGTACACAACGCAGCGGCTACGAGGGATATCCACGAGCACCCTCTCCATCAGCCTCTCAAACGTCGCTGGCGCTTTGCAGAGCCCAAATGGCATGACCCTGAACTGCCACAGCCCCTGTCCAATGGTGAATGCAGTCTTAGGCTTTGCTTCGGGGACTAGCTCCACCTGCCAGTAACCGCTATGTAGGTCGAGGGAGCTGAACCAGCTGGAGCCGGTAACGTAATCTAGGGCCTCGTCGATCCGCGGAAGCGGGTACGAGTCCTTCTTGGTGACTGCATTGAGACGGCGAAAGTCCACGCAGAACCTCGGGCTGTCATCCTTTATCGCCACCAGAACCACGGGTGCCGCCCATGGGCTATTGGACGGCTCGATCACCCCAGCCGCAGCCATCTCACGGATCTTCTCTTCCGCTACCTGCCGTTTTGAGAGGGGCAGCCGGTGTGGGTGCAGACGGATGGGCTGAGCAGAGCCGGGTTCGATGGTGTGCTGGACCAGACTCGTCTGCCTACAGTCTTTGTCACTGGCGGTAAAGATGTCGACATTCTCGTCCAGGAGGCACCTCAACCGCTGGCGCTGGTCGACGTTGAGGCCTACGCTGCTGCGCTGCCAAAGGTCATCAACAGTCTCGATGGTCTCGGTCGAGAGAGGTTTGTCGGGCTGAGAGGCTGAGGCGAGTGGAGATGACCTGGAGCCACCGGCATCCGAAATCTGCTGAGCGGCAGCTGCCCGACGCCTGTCTCGTCTGGTCCCCTCCACTCCTTGCTTTTGGCCGCGCTGGAGGGCAAAAGTCTCTGCACCAAGAGTGATAGCCAGCTCCGCGGTGTCGACGCAGGCCCCCCAGCGGCTCAGC